ATATATATATATATATATATATATATATATATATATATATATATATATATATACCAACACCAAAAAATTTGAAATAGACATTAAGGCTGTGACGACTGTCGCTTTAGAAACAATTGCGATAGAACTTTTTGAATACAATTTGGGGGTGACTCGTGATTAACTAAAAAATTAAGTTTAAAGCTCTCGTTAGTTTGGCGTTAGCTATTGAGCTTGCGCTAAGAGCTCGGCAAATGCCTGCGGCGGCTTAAAGCGTCGTACTTCGGTGAACACCATCTCCTTCCACTTCTCTACAGTATTTTCATCTTCCTCAAAACTTTGATCGTAGAGCGTTGATGTAGCTTCATCACTGGGATCATGCCATTTCTCCATATATGGATGTTCAAGGGCCTGCTCGGCTGTAATACGCTTCTCCGCGTCCAGTTCCAACATCTTTTCCAGCAATTCAATGGCCAGTGGATTGGCACCGCGAAAAACGTCGCGAAAATTTCGACGCGGCATCACGGGTAATGATCGTATATAAGTGCGTGCGCTCTCCGACGAGATCTTGTTCATAAATTCATCATTCGGTGTGCCCAGAACCTCCATGATTAGATTCAACTGGTGTATGTGGTCGGTGCCTGGGAACAGAGTGCGTCCCGTTAAAAGTTCAGCCATGATGCAGCCTACAGACCAAATATCCACTGTCTGATTGTAATGCATCCAATTAAGCATGATTTCAGGCGCCCGATACCAACGTGTTGCCACATATCCCGTCATCTCGCTCTCCGCGGGTCGAGCCAGTCCAAAATCTAAGATGCGCAGCTCGCAGTCCTCATTTACAGCTAAATTGGAGGGCTTCAAATCACGATGAATGACCCCGGCGCTATGAATATACTTTAATCCACGCAATATTTGATAGACTAGAAATTGCACATGCTCATCAGATAGCTTTTGCGTGCGTATTATATTATTAAGATCAGCGTCCATCAGATGTGTCACCATGTAGACTTGCTGGAATTGATCTAACGAATCAGCTGGCTGCCCGGGATGGAAGACATCCAACAGTCCAATGACATTCTCATGATCCATGTGCTTCAACAGGCATAGTTCGCGGTATGTGCGTTTCGCATGCACTGCTGATTGAAAGGGACGGGCCAATTTCTTAATGGCCACCTTTGTCGAGGTACCTCGTACCACGGCTTTGCACACTTGTCCGTAGGCACCCTGTCCAACAGCCTGAAGATTTTGGTATGTTTCAGGAATTTCCCATTCCGTGCGATTAATCTCGATTTTATAAAACTTCGGCATTTTCATGGACTTTATGATTGTCGTAATAAAAATCGTCTTTTTATCTTGTTATCCAAAAGAATTTCACGAATTAAAGAAGCAGTATTCTCATAGTGATGTACAAAGACAACATAGAGACGATTAGTCGATAGTATTTTACCAAGTATTTTATTTTGCTATCGATATTAAAAGAACTTTTTAATCAGCTGTTAATTTAAGCTTTTTAAAGTTTCAATTTACCAAATTTGCGCCAAGCAGCATCAGCTGTGTGTGTGTTTTAACTTTCAAGCTTTTAGTTCCAATCGGGCGTTTGTGAGCGTAGCGTGGTGCGCACGGACTGTCACAGTTTGAGTCTTAATATTTTTTGCACGAGTTTTTTCCTTACGTTTTTATTCATTGACAAAAACTCAAGCTGCGCTCTGTATTTGTGTGTGTGAATATGTGCGTTTGTGAGGCCGCTATTTGCGTGTATTGTGCTAGAGTGTGTGTTTGAACAACGTTGGCTCTGGATTACTTCACAGAATACATTTCTAATAATTATATTAAATATAACACAAAAAAAAATATAAATAAATAAGCATAATTCAAAATTAGCATTGTCTTTAGTGTTCAACAGATCCAGAAAAACAAAACAACACAAATACATAAAAAATACAGAGTCTCTTTTGAAAAGACAAAGTGATATACCTCGAGATAGGATTGATCGACTATAGGGGGCGCTGCAGCTGCAACCATTAGGAAGGAACAACTGCTAAGCTTACAGAACCGTTAAGCGTAAGCAAAATGGCCACGACTGCGGCTGCCGTGGCAGCCACCAGTGTTGTTGTATTGGATCGTGGCAATAATACTACATGCACAATCAACTTGCATGGTAAGTGTGTCTGTATGTTTGTTTATAATTAATCATAATTTACCAAAACATAGTAATAATTCGCAAATAATATATCTTCAGTTTTTCGGTGCTCTTCAGAAAATCGTTGGCGTTATTTTTAGCGCATGATTAGCAATATTTTTTTTATAATTGATTTATTTTGTTTTTGGTAATCGCTTTATGGACTCTTATTTTATAGAGTTAAGCTGCGTCAACAATTTACGCAGCCCGTAGAGGTTATCAGAGCTTAAATACACAGTGAAAAAATACTGGGTTTTACTTAAAATTGAATTGAACTGGATCTAAATGTTGCTAAATGCTAGCAAAGTGGTTCAGTTTAGAGTTATAAATCAGAAGTTCACTCTCTGACCATCGCAATCGCTATTGCTGTACTGTATTCATTTTCGCCCAGTGTAAAATATGGCTGTAATCTAGTTGCAAATGTTGTATTAATACTCGCAAATACCATGTATTAGGTTTACGTTACAGCCATTTCAAAATAGACAGTGTAGCCCGCTCAAGTGGCTTTCCTACTATCTTATCAGTATTATGAACGATCTATCTATGCTCTCCTCTTTCTCTCTCTCTTCTCTTTCTCTTTCTGTTTGTCTATGCTGAATGATCGTCATGTCTGTCACCTACTCGCAACAAATTTCGATTAGGCGTTATATACATATGTGTATGTGCATTTATATAGGTACATATGTATTTATATGTACAGAGCGCACTTTCAACAATTACGACGACTCGTTCGATCTACCCACGTTGCGTCTTGCGACGCGGTTTTTGAGTCGCAGCCAGACACACATATTCCATTCTACCACAAAATGCGATCCAACTGGCAGCCAGTTTTTTTTTTTTTTTTCAAGTCAAGTCAAACTTTAAACTTAATGCTAGAGTTTTGATTTCCGCTTGCTTTATATATATTTTTTCTACAATTCGAATTCTGCAACGTTAAACGACGCTTAGACGGAGGCAAGCTTACGGCTAAAACAGGCCGCATCTTACATACAAACGTACAACATATGCACATATACACATGTAATAAATACACACACATCTACACCCACACGCAGCCGTGTTGCACCCACCCAATAGTCGAATAGCTATTGGAGCTGGGAGTCTCTCTCGTTCCCTCTAGCTGGAAGGTATAGTGGCTTAGACGAGTGATATGTATGTGTGTGTGTGTGTGTGTGTGTGCGTCATAGTCGCCAGCATTTTTACTCAGTTTGTAATTTACAAATGAGTAATTATTTGCTCAGTTAGTAAGAGTCAAAAGGACTCAGTTAATGCAAACGTTACACTAACATACTATGTGAAACGGTACTAATCTTATATATATACATATATACCTTTGTAGGTATTTATAGTTACTGCTAATAAAATTTCAATAATACATTTTTTAACGGCTTTTCTATATATATTTATTAATAGGTGCGACGGTTGTGTCCTGGCGTGTTAATAATCAGGAGCAGTTGTTTGTGAGGTAAGCTTTTTAACATTACGCATACGCCGCACTGGCCACTTTAAGCTCAAAGCGCACAGTCAACCGTTTGAAGTTGAAGCAACTTACGCAAGTCTATGGTAACTAATGGTGAGCAACCAAAAAAGTGTTGGGAAAAAGTTTTCAACAGACGAATGCAAACCAACACACACATGCACACGCTCCCTTGGACGTAAGCTAGCCACAAAGGATGCCCTGCAGTAGAGGAACAGAGGCGTATGGTTGTTGGGCAACCTTAGCCATTCTGTTTGGCGGCAAAATGTTTTGGAAAAACATGAAACGAACCAAAAAGAGACGCACAAAACCCGACCAAAGAGAGGCAAGAGCGCCGCAGCATGAGACAACGAGTGTAAGCGAGAGAGAGAGAGATAGAGAGAGCAAGAGTTTGCCAAAGAGAGCGCGTGCTGCACATGCACAAGTCGTAATCTGCGGCATGGGCAGCTTTGAGGGCCGCTTTCTTGCTGCGTACGCTATCCTGCTCTAACCAACGATATCAATAAAAACAACAACAACAACGAGGAAAACAATGTGCTGGTTTTTATGAATGGAGTTTTTTGGCGCGGCATCTAGATCGATAAATCCCGACTACGACTACATGATGTGCCATGTACACAGTGCCTCGGCTTGCACAGTGGCCCAAAACGTCGGATTGTGGCGTCTTGGCGGTCTAACCCGTCTTGGCAACAGCTGCTGCTGAGGCTTGCCGCTTTTCAATTACCTTGCACATATCAGGTCATAAAAGGGATTTGGCCTCGATAGAATATATGAATTATAGCATATATGAATAGTGAAATTTTGAATTTTGAAATATTAAAAATTTGAGAAATATTGAAGATTAGAAATGCAGAACACATGACCAAAACTATTTACAGGGTATAGTAACGTGGGCCATTTTTTTTTACCACGTCACATTTTCTTTGCTTAGCTTTTAAGTTTTTCCCAACATTTTCGTCTGTTTGTCCGAATGTTACACATTGCGTCGACTTTTTTTGTATCACTCTTTTGTTTTTTGTTTTGTTCATTGGCATTTGGAAACCCAGCAGGAGCGGCGAGGAACTAACAGAAAAACTGCTGCGAGTTGAGTTGAAGTTGAAGTTTTGTTCTACAAAAACCAGGGACACTTTTTTTCGAGTGGGCAAGCCAAAAGGAACTACGTGTGGTAACGAAAAGATAAAGAGAGAGATGGAGAGAGACAGAGAGAGAGTGAGAGCAAGTGGGGGAATTTGAGAATTGTGTAAACTAAAACAGAAAATCAAAGCAGGCAGCTCAGTAGCTAATGCTTAAAGAACTGCTACAATAAATGCCACTTGGTTGAATTCCGCAAAATGCGGCACAAAGCTGATCCGAGGTAGCTTGCACGGCCAACAACCTGACAATATTAATGACACAATTGCCTCTTCGGGGTCCTTGGAGCAAACAAAGACGCAGGGGCCACTCAGTTGATGGATGCGTCGGCAAATTAGCGCACGCAAAAACTCTAAAAGGGCCAACTGAATCACTGAGCAAAAAGTTGCCAGCCAAACGCCAATCGCCAGACACTTTTTTTCCTCCGTCCGCAGCTCGAGCAAGAGATTCAGAAATTTCTGAACGTCTGCGCGTGTTTTTATGTCTCAACTCGGCAAAGATGCTTTGCTAGCTCTAAAGGGCTTCGCAATCTGCGCAACGGACAACACAAATTAAACTAAAAGCAAACTTCTCTAAATTTAATAGAAATCTAAATCGAAATTTTGCGGAAAAATATAAATTCATGCTATCTGCTTAGAGATGGATGTTGCCTTCTGATAGGCTCTCTAGGTTCTTACGCATTCACCTAATCTGATTTCTAAAATTATACGAATCTCATATAATAGCGCCAATTTTCGCTGGCGTGTCTCATAAGCTAAATATTTTCTGAACCTTACATCAAAAAGCCGGAAATGATTTACTGCTCAGTTCCTTTCTTCTGGGTCGTGTTGTTTCTTTCTAGTTCAAATGATATATTATGGGAAGCTTTAATATGGCGTAGACAATCGACGCATGAATAAATCAATACATATTTTGTCTTCCACTTGCAGCAAGTTGGCATCGTTTGATGGTAAAAAGGCTATACGTGGGGGCATACCCTTTGTTTTCCGTAAGTACATTCATTATATATTATATATATTATATATATATTATTATATATATATATATATATATATATATATATCACAATAGCACAATTTGGACCCTGGTCTTTTGGTCCACAGCACGGTTTTGCAAGAATCACACGTTGGCATTTGGATCGAGCCCCAGAACGATTGCACAATGGCGATGTGGAGGCAATATTTTCGCTGATGGACAATGAGTTTACGCGTTCTATTTGGAATTATCAGTAGGTATCTGTAAAGTCTGTCACTTGAATTAAATTCATTCTCCTATCATGCGCAGATTTCGGATAACCTATCGCTTAATACTGCGTGAAAAGGAACTACATTTTCACATCGGCGTTTATAATCCTAGCAAAGATCTGAGTTTTACATTCAATATGCTGTTGCACACCTATCTAAAAGTTCCAGATGTTCGACGATGTCAGATAACTGGACTTCAGGGCTGCCACTTTATAGACAAGACACGCGAGGGCGCTCTGTATCAGGTAGAGCTATAGCTGACTCTTTATATTATTATATTATAGGCCTTTAAAGTTGCATTCCTTGTATTAACTCTAGGAGGGTCGTGAGGTGGTCACTGTTAACGAGTGGACGGATCGCATCTATCAGCATACGCCACAGGAGCATGTGATAACTAATGTAGTATCCGGGCGTAAGATGAGGCTACACAAATACAATTTCCCAGATACAGGTGAGTGAGGTTAGATGTAATGACTATAGTAATGCGCATGACTTATCAAATCACTAACTATGCCGCATTCCCGCGAAATGATCGTATGTTGATTTTTTGTGGACTTGAGATTTTAATGCAGAACTGTTAGAAAACGTCTCTCTCACATACTTTCGGTAAATAGGAACTCAATTCGCTCTAGTTTCGGGAAAAGAACAATTTCGATTTAAGCGTTTGTATATGTACTAAAATGCAATAACGAAATTACAAAAATGCTTCAAGTGTTGTAAAGGCGTATTTAAAATACTAGAAGCTTGTGTTTTGGCATATACACGCACCTGATTGATATTCGTGTTTAGCATAATCCATCCTTATATTTTTATGTGTGTGTGCTTTTTGTGTAAGCGGAAGGACTTTAAGAATTATTGTGAAATATCAATTCTTCGAAAAGTTCAGCGGATTCGTAGTCGAGAAGTCTCGACTAGAGTTTTCTTTCTTGTTAAATTTGACTGGCTTGCGTAGAGCTTGCACTACTTCTTCAGAACAATTCAAATGAAGTATATACATACATATATAATGCTAATAGTAAAGTAACTTAAAATGGACATCCTTCATGTATTTCTATTTACTTTTGTGAGATGTCGGCATTAGCAGCAAAGTCCATTGCGATCCCATCATGCTTAATATTAGTTTTGTCCATCGGTAAAAATTATAGACAGAAGCAATGATTGCTAATTAAATCTACAGTCAAGGAAAAGTTAACACCGCTTGTTTATCAATATTTCGGGTTTTTACAAACAAAAATGTAAGTTTTGGTGTCCCATTATTTAGGACAGGGTATTTTCGATATGACACGCCCTTAAAGAGACGAAAAAGGAGGTTACCAGTAACTCGACTAACCGAACTTGAAGCTTCTTTGTCTTAAACTGTAAGAGATATATACTTTTGCGGACGGACATACATACATATATCCGTCATATCTTTTTGGTCTTGGGTATCTCTAGCATCAATACTGATCAAAATATAAAGCAGAATTTGAAAAGTCACTTTATCTTCAGGTCGATTGGCCACGCCTCTGGGAGATGTAGCTTAATTCGATTTGCTATGTCCCCAATGGGCGTAGATATATCCGCCATACCAAGGTGGTCTAAGGTGGTCGACGCGGATCTGCATTCCAAATTTCAGTTTTCTAGCTCTTCATCTAAAATGATTAATTTTAATATGAAGCATATTCCGATTTGCCACGCTCCTAGTCGGATCGGGCAAACAATTTATAAATCTGATATATTTACGAGTATGTGTTCCTAATTTCAAGTCTCTACCTCTAATAGCGCCAAAAAATGCGTTATTAGGACAGACGTTCGGGCAAGACGGATATTGCACAAAACCAATATACTCATTTCACTGAAATCAGCTTTGTTTTTTTATAATAAACTTATCCATTATCCATTAACCATAAATATTGTTTTATTGCAAAATTAATGGTGTATGTCGAATTTTATCCCTGACTATATAGCCAAAGTGTGCCTCGAAGAGCAGCAAAGATTTTCTGGTTTGGTGTTGTTCTAAAGTCATAGGGAACCTTGTCACTGACGTTCAATTTAAGTTTGCTAAGTATCTAACTGCTTGTAAAATTTGGAAACTTTGTAACTTATTGCAGTTATTTGGAACCCGTGGATCGATCGGTCGCGAGAAATGAGTGACTTTGGTGACGATGAGTTTCCCAATATGCTGTGCGTCGAGGCTGGCAATGTCAGCTCCCCAGTCATATTGCTTCCGGGCACTTGTTATGAAGCTAGCCAGATACTACAGGTAGATGCAAATACGATATATATATATCGATATTATTTAATAAGCTAAAACCCACAGCAATTTAAGTGTCCCTATAATTTGGTACTGTCCAAGCAAAAACTTCAAAGAAAACTAAAATGATTGCGCAAAGTCTTAATTAAATCTATTATCTATTATACTTTAACTATGTCTATTCAGATTATCATCGAAGGAAATGTCAGCCGTAAGACCAAACGGAATCGCTAGCGTTTAAGGAATCGGAACCCGCTGAGGTAAACCGATTCGTACACCATCCATTGAGATCGTCCACAAAGTAAGCAGAAGGTCAGGAAGAATTAGGAACACTTTGTCAGTAGATTATAGGTGTATACGATAAGTTACTATCCCTATAACTAGCTCAAAAATAAGACCCCATTCCCTCCTAAAAAAAAATAAATGAGTGCTGTTCAAGCAGAACTTTGGTAAATGCTCACCATGAGAATGCGGTTCGTGTCATCCCCAAGCTAAGGAAAGGTAATACATATTAAATTGTGCATTAATTAAACTAAATTGAATTAGCATTAGCCTCACATAGTACATGTGTATACGATACGATACGATCTATATATATTTTATAGCCTAGTTTTAATATAATCTCTGTGTAAAATACTAAAAAATTAAAAGAAATAAAAAGTTTAATAAATTAACAATTAGTTTGTGATATGTCAATTTACTTAGTTATAATCGATGTATAAAGAAATTCATTATATGTATATATGGATAAACATGAATGTATAATTATAGTCCATTATGTTACTCGATCTTTTGAGGGCGACCAACGTGGAAAAACTGTTTCAGCCATGCTGAACAACGCATAGCTGATATTTCCAACAATATGATTTTTATCTGAAGAATCACGTGTCTATTAAAAGGGATTAAAGATATGTATGATACAGGAACTATTTAAACTGCCTTTAAGAAGTTCGACTCACTATGTGATAGTTGAAAAATTTACTCCGTGCTAGCGCATATTGAATGCGAACTAAACATATGAATATGAATATAATTGTTTTCAACATTTTGTCCGATTTTTGGCACACTTTACAACCAACGTCTCTGACTTTATCTATCCTACTGTCAAGCCACATATGTACATACACATGTACATATGTGCCGCACAATCGCACAACTACAGAAAATGCTGGAATGCTACCCATGTGTTATAACAGCTGTTGCTTGGAAGTTATGCGCCTGAGTAATGTAATTTTCAACGGATTCCAAAATGCTATTTATGAACTTTAGTTTGTCACAAATAAATTTATAAAGTTATTGTCTACGAACACGTAGAATTTTACCAAGATACACTTAAACTGATAAAATATTTAATATGATTTAAATAAATTATGTAGCAGCAGAAACAGAGTAAAGTTTTCTCTAGTTTATCTTTCTATTTTCAGTTATCTGTTCATGTATAAAAAGCCAGTTAGCACAGTATTAACTAAGGTATTAATTAAGGTTGCTATGATCTCATTAATCCCGAGCGAATGCAAGTGCATGTTATAGGCTAATATGGTTATTAGGCTTACCTCTCAAGAGCATATAAACATTACCTTGACAATTTCTTAGATAAATAACTTTACTTTAATCAGTTGGTAGCTATCTAAACTTAGCTTACATTTATTAGATTTGCGGTTGTTTTTAGCTTACGATTAAGATTTTTTTACAATACATATATAAAATAGGCGTTTCTAGAGTGTAACCTACGCAATGCACTCGGAAACTGAGCGACGCCCGTTAACTCTTAGTAAAGATTCTCAATCGGTGTTTTTGTCGTTATTTAAAGAAGCGCAGCAGCAGGCATGAAGTAAACTTATAGCACACTTAGTTAAGAGAGAAGAGGGCTAAATAGTTTAAACAAGATTTTACACATGGCCTTTCTTTGTAGACTCATTCATATATATATATATATATATATATTTATATATATATATACATATATATATACTATACATATATATTGCATATAAATATTATGTAAGTAATAAGTATTACGATCAAATGATATTGCAGGGATAGTTTGGTGTACAGCATTGTGTGCCAGATTGTGGATGGCTTAATCTATTTTCACGGCACCATAGATTTTTAGTATGAAAACATAGGCAGCAAAGAAGCCAATGGAGCCTGTCAATAGCCAAAACGTTAGCACCATTAGACCTAATAAAAATAAAAAAATTATTAACAAATAGCTGCAATGCATATCTACAGGATTGACGCACCTGTGTAACCCAAATAAAGCAGTGTGGGTATAAATTCTGTAATCTCCAGCTTGGTAAAGAAATAAAATATGCTATAGAAAAGCACATACACAGCCGAACCACCAGAGACGATAAAGCTGCGCCACCACCAGCGATAATCCTGCAAGATAATAAAATTAATAGAGCATACTCAGCAGTCGAGTATTTTTATATGGAATATACATACCTCGCCACACAGCTGAAAGTAGGTCATAACGATGGAGATCTGAGCACAGCTAACAACTAGAATACAAAACACCAAAAACAGGAAACCAAACAAATAATAAAATTGATTCTGCCAAATGGCCGTAAACACGAAGAATAGCTCGATGAATACGGCGCCAAATGGCAAGATTCCAGCCATTAAGGTGCTGTAAAGGGGAAACGATTAGTTACGACCATCATTTAGGTTAGGGAGCAGCTAACCGACCTCAAGACTGCATTCATATACCAATGCTGTGTGGGCACCTGGCGTGGTATCATATTCGTTCGCACTGGATGCTGATACGGCTGTTTTCGATAGCCTAGGTAGAATCCCAGATAAACGAGCGGCACAGATATGCCGAACCACAGCAACAACAGCGATATCATTGTGGTAAAAGGCACAGCGCCGCTCGAGGATTTATCCCAAATGAAAAAGTTCAAAATGAATCCCGTGCTGCAATGATTACAAACACATATAAGTACAATTCAAATTAAAACTAAAGACCAAACTCACCCAAAGACAATGCCCGGATAGAGCGTGGCAGTTAAAAAGGCAGCTCGTTTCCATTCCCGTCCCTTCATCGTTTTATAGAGACGCGCCGCATAGTAGCCGGCAATGGTTCCCATGAAAACGTACATGAAAATGCCGGACGTCATGAGAGCCCCACGTGACGAGGGCGAGAGCATGCCCAGCATAGCAAAAAAGATCGTAATCATGGCCATGAAAAATATCTGGATGCCACTTCCAATGATAGCAGAGAAGAGACGCGTGTTCTTAGGCGGTCGAAAAACGTCGCCATGGACCAACTTCCAGCCGGTCTCCTCAAGCGTATCCTCGATATTATCATCTGTATTATAGCGAGCGATATCCCGCCTCAAAGTGCGTATCATGATCATGGTGAGTATACCCGATAAGAAGAAGACGACGACCAGCGAATTGATGATGCTAAACCAATGGATTTGTACATCGCGCATGCCCAAATAAATATCCCAGCGTGAGGCCCAGCTAACCTTAGACTCCTTCCAAACAACAGAGTACGTGAAGTAGAGCTGCGTTTCGCCTGATGGATTAACAAGCTGTGGACTTGGACTGTCAGGGAAATTGCAGCTATCGCCCTCAAATTTTAGTTCCTTGTGACTAACGGACCCAGTTATTACTTCAAACCCAACCACCCGATATTTATCCTTTGTGTACATGTGATAGGAGAGAATGAACTTCAGATGGTTGTTAATGTAGATTTTATCGCCATCCACTTGTCCCAATCGATAACCATGCTCGTAAGTCACTTCATTGGGATTCGTGGCACTGACAATGCGTGTCGCCACAGGCAAATTGTCCACTAGCAAGTGAACAAAATACTCGTGCTGTATGCGCTCTGCGACCGTTGCCGAATCCTCTTTGCTCCAGGTCATGGGTAAATCTTTTTTATTGCAAAGCAACTTACAATTCACGTCCTCGGCCATTTGAACCTCGTAGGGTGTGTTCACTATGCGATCACCACGCAGAACTTCCCCGAGATTCTCTGATTTGAAGATTAGGGTTCCATTCTTGGGATAGCAGAAGCGCAGTGAATAATACTGATAGGGAAGCTGGGTTCGGCTGCTAGTCATTTTAACCGCTTTAACATCGATTTTTTGTCCACGCACGAACTCAACGGGTGCCACGCCGGGCACATAAAAACAATCAACAATGACGACGACGCTGCTGCTGGCAAGCAGCGTGAACATCACCGTCCACTAGAAATATTAAGTATGATAAAATAAAAAGAGAAAAGAACATAAACAAACTTTGATTGCGTGTCCCTTTTGTCAACGTTTCGTTTACAGTCAGTTCGCTGCATTTACTTAAGCTATTGTGTGCACGTTGCAAGACTCACCTGCATGGCTACCTTCGAAATTGAAGCCTAATTGATTTGCACTGAATGTAAATGTATATATTTAACTAAAAATTTGCCAATTTATAAACTAGCTAAAAAATATATATATTCTTTCTTCTATTGCCTCTTCTCGTTTGCAATTGTCGCCCGCCAAGTGTAGAGAAACGTTCAAAGTCGTTCTGCGGTATTTTTTCTGGCGCTGTTAACATAACAGCTGTACCATTCAAAATCTATATCTAAAGAACCTAAGTAAATATATACCTATTTTATTGAGATATATTATGACAATCGTTAATGATTTAAAAATATATGTATATATAATTAGTATTGGTAAATTATAAATACAACTACATTCAATTTAATGATACATCTCCAATAACAGTCTACAATTCTGTTAAGTCAGAAGCAGAAAAACGAACTAGATGAGCAAACCATTTTACACAAGTTCGCTTGGTTTAGTAACCTGAGTCGTTTGAGTGAATTTGTTCCAAGCGACTATAACAGCGAAAATATGTGTCTCAAATGGTGTAAAACTGTTCGAAACTAAACTGGATTTAATCTTTTTTGCGTTTAAATATATAAAGCACCAAGCACGACTCAATAGTTTTCCGTTCGAAATACCGTTTCGCTCAACCTATTGTGCACTACTGCTTTGTTGTTTGGTTGTTGTGGCTGTTGATTGTTTCACTTGTTTTCTGTATTTGTACATACATACATATGTATGTACAAGGACGGCGCTACGACGCTGCTGAAGTTGTGCTCGTCCTTGCTTGACAAAGGCGCAACAATTAGACCGCGCAACAAGGCGAATGAGTCGATGTGTTCGTGGATGTGCGCGTGAGAAAATCAATAGTAATAAATCAAAATACAAAAACTACAAGCATTGATTGTGCTTCGTGTATGAGCGGGTTTTGTGATTGTGTGCGTGCGTAGGTGTTGCATACTAAACTTTCTTTTTCTACAATCAGCCAAACAATTAAAGCAGTCAGGAAAATACCAAAAAGTTAAATAAAGAAAATACCAAAACCTAGGCTAAACATCATAGTATGGAAAGTAAACAGAATGCTGCAGTTGCCGCCAACGCCGCTGCCACTGTCGCTTCCCCCGCCGTCGCCGCCAGCAGTAGCAGCAACAATGCCGACGACAACGATAGTGATAATGATGTGGTCACCGATTTTCTAAACTGCAATTGCAACAGCAACACCAACGGAGTGGGAGACGTGTCAGATGCTCCCGCTGCGCCATCTTCGAAAATCTTGCATTGTGCCCCTCGTGTTACAGTGGAAAGTCAGAATTATTGCATACCTGTTATTAACGCACCTGTCCCAGCTGTGGTACTCCCTGGAAATAACAACAACAGCACTAACAATATAGCACAACACGGCAACAACAACAACATGATACCCACAATTAATGTCACACCTCATAGTCCGGCATCGGCCTCCAAGTACAACAACATCTTCGAGGACACATTAAGCCAGTTGCAAAATATACGAGAAACAGTGCAGCAGATGAAGAACTCCAGCCACAATCAGCAGGATGGACTGACCAACAACTATGGCCTTCTCAGTGCGGCGATACTGAGCGCCTCGCTGCCCGATCTCAGCAATATGGGAGGCAGTGCCAACGCCAACGGCACCGGTGGCATCAACAACATGGGCATCATGTGGTCGGCAGCGCCACAACAATGCCTTCTCCTGCACACAGACCGACGGAAATCCTGGACGGCTGTGGATGATGCCAATGCGACGGGTGATTGTACCAACAAGAGTGTAAGCCTGTCCAGTTTGGACAGCGAGGAGCAGGAAACCATACGCGTTACCGAGCAGCGAAGGCGCTCTGCTAGGAACAGCACAGGTGGTAAGAGCATGCCTACTCTATGTAATACTACTGTATCGGACTGGCTATGTAGGCAAATGAATGATACAAGTAGAGGATATGGTTTGAATAGTTCAAACATCTTGAGCATTGATAAGAATCGCATGCGTACTTTGAATATGTTAAGACAAATTGAAAACTACAAATATGGATATTATTCAAAAATGAGTCTAAAGAATCTGTTTAGTCGAATAATCTGTATTAAATCATTGCTAGAGGTAGATGACTTTTATCCTGCTGAGTTCTTTTTTTAGGTAATTTGACCCATTTTCTGGTGTTAAATACAAAAGGATCGAAATAATTGAATAAACTAATGAGGCAATAATTGTCAATTATATATTAAGTAATTCACAAGTCTTGCGTCACAAACGTTTCTTACGCGCCAATATAGCCAATGCGTCTAGTTCTAAGGAGTGTTTAGTTTCGATTACGATAAGACATTCCACAAAAGCCTCACATTGCTCGTTATCAGTGCCTAGTACCGGAGTCCAAGAGTCAGTCGCATTTAATTCACTCGATTTTCGTTTAGCATTTTCGTAAATTTATTCACATGCTCCAACTTTTCACACGCAGGAATTTCAACTCACTCGCTGAACGAGGCGGAGCTGGCGCGAGATTTCGAGCGTATTGCGGCTAAGAGAAGTCTAGCCACGGAGATTATTAGCCGAATACCGTTGCAGAAGAGCATCTCAACCTCGTCGATCATAGCCAAGGAGGATATCAAAGCAATCTCGCGGCACCTCACGGATAGCGAGGATGAGAATCAGTCCTTGTTGCGTTCACATACCAAGATCGAGGTTTATGATCATGTAGAGAAACGCCCAAAGCGTGGCTCCCTATTCTTTCGCAAAAAAAAACCAAAGACCAAGACGAAGTCGCTGGTGGGCGGCGTTCAGCTAAGCGATATGGAGTCGCACCTGGAACGTAAGAAACTGTCAGCAGGCCAAGACTATTGTGATGGCTCTGAGAGCTTGCACCAGCAGCATTACCACCAGCATCATCAAATGCAGGAGCAAGAGGATCAACAGCCACTTATACGTGCTGCCGAGCTGCAGTTTCTTAATGAGCCACCAATCGAGGCGCAGGACTTGGGAGCTGATCCAATACTGGGCATTGTACTACAAGAGCCCGACTCCTGGACGCCGAATGTACCCAAAGAGCAGCTGAAAACGCTTAAGGAACTCCAGATCAAGCGGCAGGAGCACATTTACGAGTTCATCATGACCGAGAAGCACCACTGCCAAACGTTAATTGTAATGCGCAAAGTCTTCGTGGAAAGTATGGAGCGGCATTTCCCAGCGCTGAATACGCACAGCATGTTTCCTCGGCTTCAGCAGCTGACAGAGCTGCATACCTGCTTCCTGCGCCAGCTGCGGCAGAAGCAACGCGAACATCTCGTTGTGGATAGCATTGCGGACATCCTGCTCGAGTTCTTCTCACTGGAGCAGGCGCAGTGCCTGCGCTTGGCCTATGGCGAATTCTGTGCGAACCATCGCAGTGCTTTGGAGCAGTTCAAACAATGCCTCGCTGAGCCGAGCTTTGCTGAGTGGTATAAGCACTGCCTGCAGAATCCCCTGCTCAAAAAGAAGGGCATACCAGAGTGCATATTGTTTGTCACTCAGCGCTTGACAAAGTATCCGCTACTGATTGAGCCTTTGCTGAAAAGCGCACGAGATAATAAGTTGGAGACGGATAAGCTGCAGCATGCGCTGAACTTGGTCAAATCTCTTCTGGTTGACGTCGATGCCTGTGTGGCGGAGAAGGAACTGCGTGAACGGCAGTTGGAGATCTATGCCCGCGTCGATGCGAAATCCTTTGCTATCTATAAGAATAAACCCTTCCGCAAGACCGAGTTGGGAGTGGAGTCAAGGCGACGTCTAAAGTTCGACGGGTTGGCTACGCTGATGCAGGGTCGAGCTAAGACGCAGTTGGTTTTGATCGTGGTGCTGACCGACTGTCTCTGCTTTCTTGTCGAGAACTCGGCGCATAATAAGTATGCGTTCTTTACGCCCGAGCACAAGGCGGGCGTGGTTCCGTTGCAGAAGCTGCTGATACGCGAGAAAGCGGGGACCGAATCGCGTGGAATCTATATAATCAGCTCAAATCCCGATTTTCCTGAAATGTACGAGCTCAAAGTGCAAACGCCAAAGGACAAACAAACCTGGATACAGAGCATCAGGCAGGCAGTGCTCGACTGCCCTGCCACGGATATCATCGAAGCTGAAGCGCTGACGGCTGAAGAGAAGCTCCGCATTGGTGTCAACAAGCGCGAGATCATTGAGAAGATGCGCCAGAAGGATATTGAACAGGCGTTACTGCTGGAGGAGAAACTGATGCTACAGTTCAATCTGCTCAAGCAGCAACAACCCTTCGGCGAAGATCTCAATGCGGCTAATACGAATGGCAGCGCGGCCAATTTCTTGGCTGCCTTTGGTTCCTATAAGGAGTTGGTTTCCACAGACTGCGACACAGCGGAGCTCTGGCGACGCGTCCTCAACACTGTGCAGGACATTAGCCAGCTGGCGGCAAGCATTTATAGCGCTGCAACTGGGCTACCTGTCTCTCGTACCGTCAGTAGCGTGGGTGAGAAACAAAGTGCTCTCTATGCGTCGCCCACATTGCCGAAGCGTGCGGAAACCTTTGCGGGCTTCGACGAGAAAAGGGGCAAGCTGAACATGGGACGGGAGGTCAAGCTGACGCCGCGGCTGCAAGAGCTGGAGGAGAAACGTGAGCTGAAGACCCAAGCTCCAGTTGAGATGGCTGCAGCGCCAACGCAGCTCCAACTTCACGCCAGCACGCTGCCCTCCAGTAGCAAGGAACACAATTATGCGGTGCTCCAGGTGTCGCATCATTTGCACACGCTGCTCTGCATCATCTCGCAGCAAATGACTTGCATACAGAGCCTGCAGCTGCAACTGGCGCTGTATCGCGAATCGCCGAGGAGCAGCAGTGTAGGCGGAGGCTCCAGCGCAGGCGGTGCCAGTGGTTCAGCAGCTGGCGGAAGCTCTGCCTACACGCACAAGGATCAGCTAGAGGAGCTGCGCAACTTGCAGGATAAGCTGCAGGAGGAGAAGACCGCTTGGCTGCGGCAAAAACAACAGCAAATGGACGAGCTGGTCGAAATGCGGGCACAGCAGCTGCAGCTGCAGCAGCAAATTAAGGCCGAACAGGAGGACATACGCCAGCAGCGAGAGCAGCTCTATCGGAAAATGGAGTTGTTGTCTAGTCAAGGCCTCTTGCTATCGCCCAGTACTCCGCTACCAACGCTTGCGCCAGCCCTTGCGCCTGTCGCATTGCCGGAGGAAGCACATGAGCTGGACACGCCCACGGCAACAACACCAACAACGACAGCCGCCTCCACCATCGATAGACGCAAGGAGAAATGGCTAAACAGCGGATCCAGTTGCAAGACCCCGCCTGTGCATTTGCTTAGCGCGAATAATGCGCCGAAAGCGAATGCGACGCTCGTGAAACAGAAACTGCCCATGAAGCTATCATCGCTGTCCTCCGGCACGCGGGTCGACAAGTCAGCAAGCTTTAATAACAGCTCCAACAATGGGTCTACGCCTTCTTCCGCCGGAGTGCAGCAAATGTTTCCACTGAAGCTGGCCGACAAGCAACGGCAAATGGCCACGCCTACGCCGCAGCATTCGCGCACCGGAAGCTCACCAGCCATCATACAGCAGGTCGGCGCAACGTCGGTCACTAACTTAACGCAAAATGCTACAGGACATTACGCCGGATATGGAGGAGCCGCAGCAGCCGCAGCAGCGGCGCATCAGCAGCAACAGCGACTGGTGCAAACACCCACGAGCAGCCGCAACAATGCAAATGTGAATATGAATGTGAATGTGAATGCAGCCGCACGTGTGAGTACTCCTCTGGGCAGTACGGGACAGGCGCCACGCGCCAAGCCCGAGGAGGAGGAGATCTACTTCTGACGCAAATTCACGCCAGAGGTAGAAATCTAAAAATTTAAGCATACAAACCCCACATTCCAATAATAGCTGAAAGGTGTGGTATAATTTGCCTAGCTAGAAGATAAATTCAATTAACATTTGCATCACGTATTCTCTTAAATTCAATTGATTTCGTTTTTCACAACATTTAATGTTTAATTAATGATATGCTATGACATATTAAATGACACATAATAATAAGATGATTTAATGTGTATTATTCCGTTGTTCCTTTTGAAAAGATATATGCTGAAGAAAATTAAAAAGTATTTGAGGTGAAAAGTAAATATTTAGTACAGAAATTGAAGAACTAGTAAAAATGTTTGGAAGGAAAGAGTTCACAAACGATAGATTCCAAATAAAAACACAATGAAAGATTATGTCAAACTGAGAACTAAAACATATCTCTCAAATACTTAAATATGTTTCCATTTCATATTCAAAAACATTTTCCTTAGCTAACTAATTAAAGTGTGGCGAATTATACCATTAACCAAGCATCTCAAAAACGCAGTCTACTCGTTTGAGTGCTCGTCCATTAACTTAAGTAATCCCAAGTCTGTGTTTATCAATATATATATATATATATATAGATTATATATATATATAATCTATATATATATATATATAATCTATGTGTACTTAATTGTTCAGTTTAAAGTTAAAGAAATCTCAAAAAGTATCACAGTTTTTTATAAATATAATGTATTATACATAGAAAAATATGTCTGGACTTTAGAGTGTATACAACTTTGTACTTAAAAGTTTAATTTATAAAAATTTTGAGCGTGTCGTAACACAGCTTGTAAAACAGTTCTTTTTTTGAATGTGCTCGAAATCGCTTAAAACTGTTAAATATATTTATACTCATTCACGAAAGTGAGATAGTATATTGGTTTCGTGCAATGTCCGTCTTGTCCGTATGAACGCAATTTTATTTTGGCGTTATTGAAGAACGCTGAAATTTTGCACGTAAGATAATATTACGATTCTATAAAGATTCATGAAAAATGTCTACGCCCATTAGGGGTGTGGCAAATCGAACCTGAAGATATGATTTCTTAAATTCTGATATATTTTGGACAATATTGATGTTAGAGACCTCAAATTTGGTATTTATACTCGGGCTGACCACCCAAGACCAACATGTTTTAGTGGGTATTTGTCCGCCTACAGGGGGGTGGCAAACCGGAAAAGTTTTTATCTTCTCAAGTATTATACCTAGAAGCTTCAAAATTTGATAGTTAAGTTACTAGTAACCTCCTCTATCGATGACCCAAAAAATCATCTTTGCGTCTCTTTAGGGGCGTGGCATATCGAAAAACACCCTGTAATTTTCACAATTGTTTAGCGTAAAAATTCAAATTTTGCAGTTAAGGTACCGTTAGCTCGTTCTAAGAACTGGCCAGTAGGGGTGTGGCAAATCGGGAAAAACTGAACTTTCTACAGTATTAGAACTAAACTTTGCTACTAAATTGCTGAAGGGATGTGAATGAGTATTCCGCAGTCGGTAACGCTCGACTCCAACGTTCTTACTTCTTTAGACTACATCAATATCTGAATAGTCACGCAAGTAATTCAAATTAATTATCTTAGCTCTTACAGCTAACTATTTATTCTCTCAATGTACTTAGACTTTTGCATTCTTCACAAATCTATGGTGTGTTTTTACTTTTATTCTACTCCAAATCCAACTTCAATGTGTATTAAACTGTTACACAAAAAGAAACCCTAGATATTAGAAAGCGATATCGATAACTAAAACAAATATTTATGTAAAAAACAATGTATGGTTACAAAAATGTATGCTCATATACAGATTATACATGTATACAAAATCTATTTATAAATACATATACAAAGCCTTTAAATAACTGTACTTGAAGAAAGCTATTTACGGATTAGCATTTACTAAATCGTATCAGACACTAAAGGTCTTCTATTATTTATTTCAGCAATTTCTGTATTGTTTAAAAAATTTATATTTCTGTATTATTTAAAAAATTTATATTTTTGTTTATATATAATACGAATTTGTAAATTCCAAAAAGCTGAAAAAAGTGGGAGCTCTATTAAAATTTGACTTATAAAAAAATAACCAAAATAAAAAGTCACTTAACCAAAACAAATTTTAGACTTTTATTAAGTTTGGTTCTTAACATTTGTTAGGTCAATATTCTTCCCAACATTATTTTCTATTCATTTTAACTTTATTTTACATAAATATACATATAATGCTGTTTAAAAAAAAATCCATTGTATCAAAGGTATTTTTGAGATTTTACAAAATATATGTAAATTTAGCAAAGATACATTTAGAATATCTCACTATTTGTTTACTGTAAAACTTATAATCCACTTATATGTACATATGTTCTCCCTTAACAAATTCTATTCAACAATATATACAATAGGAAATAATCTTGAATATTTGAGACTTCGCCATCTTTAGGTATCGAAACTTAATCTCTCTGACTGCGGCTAAAGCAGCTGGAATCTCGAAGCTTAAACACATCACTGACTGTTCAATTTTTTTTTTTTTTTTCATTTCCATAATAATTGCTATTAATTTTAATTATATGTGACAGTTTGGTTAAAATGCAACTTAAATCAAAATTGTGTAAAATATACATACATAAAACAAAATGAATGCAAAATCTCTAAAACTCCACCTCCAAAGACGTTCGAGGTATAGTATAACAAGTGAAGTTCGGATATGTTTTTAATATATAATTGTGTATGTATACATATATGTATGGATGGATCTACGTTAAATATATATCGCATATATACAGAATGTTTTTTGTTTCGCTGTGTATAGCTATATATACAATATGTTGATCGCTCCAATAAATGTTTCAAAATCGAACTTAATGCTAAATGAGGAAGCCGTTGTTTCAATAGTCAAAATCCTGTTTACGAGGACACTTTTGGCGGGTGTGTCCTTCCTCGCGACATAGACCGCACCGACGCGTCCGATTCCCAGTTGAGGCCACTGCTCCTGCACCAGATTTTGATGAGCTAGCTGCTTGGAAAGGAAAATATTTATCGATTAAAAATGCATTACATTAATTGATATCGTACTCACCTGCCTGCTCATTCGAATCGCCCCATTGAAAAAAACCGCAGGACTTTTCGCGATTCGCGCATGCAAAAAAGGGTCGTCCCTTATTGGGTCCATCCTTGCGGACGATCAGACTGCTAGCGGGCTTGTCGCAATTGCATTTAGTGCTGCCATCGGTAGCGAGTCGTTGATTTATGGTCACAGTGCTACTGGAATTCGACCGGATGTGTGAGCTCTGGTAGCTGTTGTTACTGTGATTAAATGTGGAGGTGGTTTGGTTGCTGCTGTTGCCACGATTCCAATCCCTGCTGTCTCTACTCCAACCTGAAGAGCTGCGCGCATTAGTTAGCTGGACGCTTGTCCTTTGCTGCGTAGCTGGATTTGTGCCCCAGCTAGATCTGCTGTTGCCATTTGTTGATGCTGCTTGGGCAGCATTTTCCGTGCCCCATCTAAAGATTGTCGGCGATCTGGTTCTGCCTTGCTCCAGGGTCCCAGAACTACCCCAACTCGAATCATTGGAATTTTGAGAGTTCCGGTTCGTTGCTCCCTTTGTGCCCCATGAGAGATTTTCTTGGGAATCGCGCCTTTCCTCCTTGTCAACTGCTGATGTGCTCCAACTGGATGAGCTATTGGTTTCTTGCCCAGCTCCCTTGCCCCGATTGTCGGTGCTTGTGACGGTAACTGCTGCTGTTGGCTGCTGCTCGGCCCACTGAAAGAATTTACACTCATTTGGCTTGGGGCATTTGTAGTAATGCCGGCCCTTGTTGGGCCCATCGCGCAGCACAGTAAGCTGGCGAGCAGGCTGATGGCAGCCAGTGCAAAGCACCGCAGCTGGAGCTCCAGCGGCAGAAGCTTCATTTATTCGCGCTCGCTTCACTGTTGGCTGCGCTTCGGCTGCAGCGCGTGCCTGCCTGCCCCACAGCATGGGCGCCTCCTCGGCCTCGTAAGCCTTACGCATCCATTGCGTCAGGCTACTATCTAAATTAACTGCCAATGTGTTATCATTTCTGCTGTTGCTGTTGTTGCTTTCAGCCAGCAACGACTCAAAGTCCGCATCATCATCAGCAGCAAATGCTGCCGCAATATCCTCATCCAGCTGAGAAGCTACCGCGGATTCTGATTCTGCTACAGCTGCAGCTGCCAGCAGCTGCTCATCGAATCCATCGTTGTCACTGTCAAAGAAACCATCTAGACTTGCAACGTCCCGACTATTGGTGTGAGTGAAGAAGCTTCTTATGCCACCTGATGCTGTTGTTGGTGCTGCAACATTCGCCTTATTGATATCTGATGATCCTCTAGTTGTTGTTTTGGTGTTCCGCTTTGGCTTCGCTGGCTTTTGTAAGCCTCTATTACTTGCTGAGCCCGATGAATTGCCACTTACCGGATGTGTACCTAAACTGCGACCGGGTCCACCGCAGGTTTTCCCTCCACCGCCACCACCACCTCCCGGCCCTGGTCCTGGTCCTGAGCTTCCCGCCTGTCCCACTATTCCGCCCACGCGCTTTACCTGGTCTATATTGATGTTGAAGGTGTTTCTAAACAATTCATCACAGCGTAAGCAATTCTTGTACCATCCGTGGGGTGTATTGAATAAACCGCGATAGTAGGCGGTGCTTAGCTTAAATTTTAGCATTTTATAACCATCGCCACAGGTGGCGCAGCATTCCTCCAGCACGGTTAACTCCTTGCACTCCTCCGGTAGCCAAATGACATTTTTGCAGTCCGGGAAATTAAGACAACCAATGAAAAAGCTTGTCTGATTCTTTTTGGGTTTTAAGGCAAGCGGTGCTTGCTCGCATTTAGGGCACTGGAAGAGCTCTTGCACCAAACCACTTGACGGGTTCACGGCGGCGACCGTTGGCGTTTCGTTAATCCTCTGCGCTATTTTGTCATCCATGGCTGTGATCTTGTCCATAAT